ACAGGGGGGGAGGGCTCTGCAGGAGGGCACGGGGGGGGGAGGGCTCTGCAGGGTATGTGCCTTTTGCAGACTCACCTATTTTCCGCTGCCAGGATCTGCTCCAGCAGTTTGCCAGCCTGGCACTTGGTTTCCAGCTCTGTGGCCTGGAGCAGGTTCAGCAATAGGTCCAGGCCCCCCTCCAGGCGGATGACATCACACAGAGCTTTGGCCACGTCTCGGCCCAGCGTGGGCATCACCCAGGCTTCCTGCACCAGCTGGAAGATATCAGCGATCCCCTTCCTGAGCTCCTCAGGGTCGGCTGCCTGCTTCATGGAGGAAATGGCCAGGTGCAGCTCAGGCAGGATCCGCTCCAGAGCCACCCGCACGTCGGTGCTCACCCCAGGGGACACTTCTCGGCAGCTGCGGGCAGCCCCGGCCCCTGCCCACAAGCAGGCATGGCTCGTGTACGCAGGCACCGAGAGCCTCTCCGAGCTGGACATGGCAACAAACCGGCACAGTTTATAGAAGGAGACAAGCAGGGTGAGAACCATGGACAGCCCCTAGCGCAGCATCCCAGTGCAGCCTCCGCAGCAGGGGCCTGGGCCTGGGCCCGGGACTCACCCTGGGGGACCCGAAGTTGGCTGCGCACGGGCCCTGCTCGCCTGGTGCCCACGGAGGGGCAGGTGCTGCTTGCAGCAGTGGGGTTGGGAATGGCTGGAGGAGGCAAGGAGACAAGCAGGGTGAGAACCATGGACAGCCCCTAGCGCAGCATCCCAGTGCAGCCTCCGCAGCAGGGGCCTGGGCCTGGGCCCGGGACTCACCCTGGGGGACCCGAAGTTGGCTGCGCACGGGCCCTGCTCGCCTGGTGCCCACGGAGGGGCAGGTGCTGCTTGCAGCAGTGGGGTTGGGAATGGCTGGAGGAGGCGGGGCTGGGTACCAGCTGCAGTGCTTGGCTGGTGCCAGCTCCTTCTCCCCTCCGGCCCCGGATGCTGCTGTGCTGCCCAGCTCTGCTGCCCCAGACCCATCCGGGCTCCGCCTGCTTCCCCTTCAGCATCCTCCCCTCCCCTGTGGGTGATGTCACCCCTTTCCGGCCCCGCCCCCACAAAGAGGAACTGTCCCCATGGCAACAACATCCCTCCTCCTGCACCACCAGAGGTGCTCTGGCAATGCACTGAGCAGGAGAGGCTCTCAGAGCAGAGCCTGCATCTGGCCAGCTGCTCTTGGCTCTCCACAGCCTGGCAGGGAGGCTTCTGGGCATTGCCAGGGTGGCAGGAAAGGAGCCTGTAGGCAGGGCATTTCAGCCTTCAGCCAAGAGCGAGACCCACTGGCCGGAGGGAGGTTGTGGGCCGTGCCCATGCAGCAGGGCCCTCCTGGGGGCTCTCCCTACAGGGGCCAGTGGGGAGCCAGGCAGCAGCAGAGATCAGCATGCCTGGAGCCCTGACGTGCATGACGCTGGGGTGGCTGGAGAGCAAAGGGGCAGTGTTGACGAGGGAGTCCTGCCTGCCTTTGGCTCGGCCCATTAGGGAGGAATTAAAATGCTCCCTCCAGCTCTTCTTTCCAGCTGCCCATCCACACTGCCCCTGCGGAGGGCTCAGCAGCTGCCCCGGCCCAACCCAGTGCCGGTCTGGGCCTTGCCGGGTTCGACTTCCAGTCAGGCTCTGCTCCCCAGCAGGGGGCACCGGCTCGGAGACGTGTTTGGATCATCGATTGCTCGGCCCATTAGGGAGGAATTAAAATGCTCCCTCCAGCTCTTCTTTCCAGCTGCCCATCCACACTGCCCCTGCGGAGGGCTCAGCAGCTGCCCCGGCCCAACCCAGTGCCGGTCTGGGCCTTGCCGGGTTCGACTTCCAGTCAGGCTCTGCTCCCCAGCAGGGGGCACCGGCTCGGAGACGTGTTTGGATCATCGATTGCAGACGCCCAGGCCTGCCTGCCCTGCCGGCAGTGGGCCCAGAGAACCGCTGGCCACAGTGCTCTTTGGAGCAGCCCTGGACCCATAGCGCACGCACACCCCCATGCCCATCCTCTCCTCTCAAGAGTAACGGGCCAGGCTTGCTGACCTCTCCTCAGCCCAGGATTTCTGCCCTTTTCTTGGTTTTCTCATATCGGTTTGAAAGCGGCGAATGTCTAGGAGATTAGCCCTTTACCACTGAAGTAAAGGCTAACAGGCAAACCCGACTCGTCCGGCCTGCCTTCCCTCTGCCTTTCCCCCCGCCCCTTCCCCAGGGCCTCGCTCACCCCTTTTGCCTCCTGGAGGCCTTCAGCAATCACCTGCTGGCTGCCTCCCTAGCGCAGGGCCTGGCGCTCTCGGGTAAACATGTCCCTGGCTCCCAGCCTGCAGGAGGGGTGCTGAGGCTTGAGGCTGACAAACAGGGCTCCGGCCGGGGCAGCTGGCAGCGCACACAGGCAGCTCTCCCCAAGCCCCGCACAGCCCCTCCTCCCCCACACACACGTGTGCAGAGCAG